AAGGAGGAAATATAATTGAGATATCAGGGCTTTCGGGACACTTCATTTTGAATAATAATTAGTAAACTCCAATGGTTGCCGCTTACCCGCAAGGGCAACATTATGTGTTTTTTAGTAGTATCCAAAGTATCTCAAAAGTCGTCCGTAATTTTTTGACCTCTTTTGGCTTCCTCTATTTGAAAATAAATGTTAGCGATATCGGTCTTTATTTGTACGTTTCTATCAATGGCTTTTTCGATTATTTCACTATTTTCCAAAATGTAAGTAATATTATCATCTGTCAATCAACCTTTATCAACATTTATTTCTTCCTCTTGTTGGGAAAGAAGTAAAGATTGTTGTAATTGTCAGTCATCTTTTAGTAATAGCGATTGCCTTATTGTTTCTTGTTCTATTAAGTTTTCGCTGAGAATTATTGACTGTTGCTTTAAATTTTCTTCATATATTTCTCTTAACATTTCTACTTCGCTACTACTAAGAAAATTTTTGCTCTCATAACCAAGGCTACTTTTAGCAAATAAAATAAGACTCAGGTCAGTAGATTTAAAACCCATCTCAATTCATTCTTTTGCTTCTTCATAGTTAAATCCTTCGTTCTCTCATTCTTTCTGCACTTCGGCATTAAATTCCGTGCTTATGTCCTTTCAGTTTACCATATTTATTTACTTTGTCTATTATATATAAAGTTTATATACGTTTAATATTTTTTTCTTGCGGATAATTTCTATTTAAATAATAATTTAACACTTGAATGTCAGTTGGATTAATTCCAGCCATCATTCGCATAGCTGCTCCTAATGAAACCGGTCTTCTTTTGGTTAATTTCTCCCGAGCCTCTTCTGATAAATTGTCTATTTGGGAGTAATTTATTTCATCAGGGATTTTTCTGTCCTCATATTTGCTTAATTCTTTTACCTCTTCTAATTGGTTTTCAATTTGTTTTTTGTATTTTACATTAACTTCTAATTCCCGTTGCTCTTCTCAATTTAAGTTTTTTATTTCTGGTATTCAGGGCCGAAATTCCTTTAATGAAACTTGCTTATTTCTCAATAAATCATAACCACTTATTATATTTATGGTTTTTCATTGACTAATATCAAGTTGCGGGAAAAATTTAATTAGGTCATTGTCAACTTTAAACGCTAATTTTTGGAGATTTTGGCTAATTTCGGCTTGGA